GAGCCATCTGTGTTTTTAATAGGGGACTCCTTTGGCATCCACAGCAACGATACTGGAATATTTCATCTTAGTGTTGCTGGATTTGGTTTTATTTACATCATTTATTTTAAATATGATATTACAGACTGTATGCAACATACATTCATACATTTGTCATTTAAAGCATGGAGTGCTTACTTTAATTCTTTTTTTAATGTTCATTGGCATAATTGCCTTGATCTTTCATGCGTAGTACGTTTCCTAAATTAATTCTTAGTAAATCAGCAGCTTTTACACAGTCAAATGAACTATAGATTAACATGTTCCTAAAGGTTACCCTAATTACCACTGTTTAACGTGTATACGTTGCAATGAATTGATCAAAGGATACAAAAGAAAAACAGCGCTCGTGCAATTAATTCATCTGCCACTGTGTTATTTGTATTAGAAATGCATTGTTAGCAAAACTCATTTTAAAGTAATTAATTGTCTTTACAGGCTAAACAAGTGGAAGAGGAATCTTGAAACGTGAAACACAGCATTTTGTTTAAACGTGTACAAAAACGGTTATTTTTTCTGGTCAGAAAATGGAATTTCTGAAAAAGAGTGAACCGTAAATATTCCAGAATTGTTCAATATGAAGAACTTTTACATTCCTGTTGCTTTTAATTCGATCCATACTGAATTGTTGTGGTACCCACAATCTTCAAGGATTGTCCTCTTTTAAATAAGTACTGTGCAATAATACAGCTTTGCTTCAAAAGACACATTGTAATCTAGCGTAGGAAAATATATTGAAATGTATTGCAATTTTCCTTTCCTGGTTAAGATTATTGGAGGTATCTACTTTTTGTCCATCAGACAGGATACATTTAGTTTGCCTGCTTAAATCTAGATTCTATCATCTTTACTCCTCTCCTTACTGCTCAAATTTTGCAAAGCTTACCTATAAAATGTGGGCATTTAATTCTGCAATGGATCTTAACTTGTAAAGGCAAATTGTGGTAAGTAGGGATATTGTTCATATTTTAATCATCCATGGCAGCATTACATGGACAGTACCAAGGCTATGAAATAAAAGGGAGGTAGCGAGCCATATCTACTACAATTCTCACAATTCTTTTGAACAACTATAAGGTCAAATCAGAGGCAGTAATGGCATCTCCTGTGTTCATGGAATCCCAAACCCTTAAGGATGGAGGCAATTGTTCTGAACCGAACCAAAACAAAACAAAACTGCAATTTTACTGATGATATCGTCATACTAAGTTTTACTGCTCTAAAATACTCATACTTGTTTTCAGCTGTGTCTCACGAGTACAATACCTCCCATGTACAGATTTCATGGGGAATTGGAAAGTTACAGGGTCAAATATAGGACTTGCAAATTAAATTCTCAGGTGTATATTTTATATAAATATATAAAATTTCATTTTAAGTGTATTTTGATATTTAGATATGTAATGATATATATATATTAGTATCAAAATACAGTTATATATAATCATACACGTAATATTTATTTTTTAATATATATATATTTATATATAAAATGAGCTTATTTTATTAAATTATAAGTTGGGAAACCGTCGGACAAACCAGGCAGTCTCCCTGCAAGCAATCTTGTAGTCTGGCCGATCCGATTCATGTGATCATGGGGTCATCAAAATCACATGACACTAATCATCATGATTGGGTGCAGGTGGACTACCTCAGTTGTGAGGCAGTTCTTCACATCACTGTGGTGGGTAAGCACCCTTGCTGATGGGAGGGCTTGATTGTTAGAGCGTGCCACACTACCGTAACTGCGTTAAAGCCCTCCTTTTGTAGTAAAGCATAGCACCGGGAAGGGGTTAATGCTACCATGGATGGCCAAGATGACAATATGTAGACCTCCTTTAAAAAGCATTTGTTCCTGATCTTATAAAAAACGATTAACCGATATAATTATGTATGCAAGATAAATTCTATAAATACTGTGACTCAATTTGTGAATTTGAAAGTATTTTCCAGCCAGTTAGATGGCAACACAAACAAGTGATAAAAGTTTTAGTATTCTGATTTTCGTATGACGTGACCTAATGTTTTAATACTATTTTCAAAGATATTTTTTTCAGATCGTGAATTTTCTATTTGTTCAGGCTATTTCATTATGTGATCTTGAGACAAATTTTATAGGTCTCTCTTATAAAAGGATATATAAAAATGCTTTTATATTTTTTCTTCCAGCCAAATTTACACATACACAATTTAAAGTGTTCTAAAATACATTTTCAGCGTAGCGTAATAAGTATCTCAGAGTTTTTCATGTGATATTATCTTGTTCATACAGAGTGTGGTTCAAATTATATTCCTTTGAATATTGCTGTATTACAGTCTTGTGATTTATACTGTAATAAAAATAAATGTTTTATTCTTTTTATGTTAATATTTTATTTTGACTTTTCTTTTATTTAGATGATATGTTGAATATTATCTGTTGTCCCTTAACTGTGTATCTCTGGTGAATAGTGATGTCCCGAACGTTCCGCGAACGGTTCGCCGCGGACTCATCATTGAGTAAACTTTGACCCTGTACCTCACAGTCAGCAGACACATTCCAGCCAATCAGCAGCAGACCCTCCCTCCCAGACCCTCTCACCTCCTGGACAGTATCCATTGTGAAGCTGCATTCTTAGTGAGCTGTCCATGAGGTGGAAGGGTCTGGGAGGGAGGGTCTGCTGCTGATTGGCTGGAATGTGTCTGCTGACTGTGAGGTACAGGGTCAAAGTTTACTCAATGATGAGTCCGTGGCGAACCGTTCGGCGAACAGTTCGGGACATCACTACTGGTGAATGAATGATGTCTATGACTCAGCTTAAATATTTAGTTTAATCCTCCCCAACTTGCATAAACATTAAAAGTCATAACCATACCCTACTCAATTGGATTCTCTCCACTTCTCCTGATAGAATCCAGGAGGCAGGTGTTCTCCCTAATAGTTTCAGTGATCACTGTTTAGTGTACTGCATGCGCAAAATAAAGGGTACTAAATCATCTCCCAAGGTTAAAATCACCAGGTCCTTCACAAATTTTAATCTTGAATCCTTTCTTAATGACATCAAGAACCTCCCATGGTACAGATTAAACATTATCCCAGATCTAGACTGTGTAGTTGAATTATTTCAGTCTGAACTCCTTCAAGTTTGGAATTTTCATACCCTAACGCGTAAGGTGAGCGTAAAAGGGGCACAAATTAACTGGATCACAGCTGACCTCATCCAAATGAACCAGTTTTGGGATTCATTGTGGTCAAAGTTCAGACGTACTGGATCTATGAATGATCACTGTGCATATAGACAATTGCAAAATATATACACAAAACAAACAAAATTGGCCAAGGCCCAATATTTCTATGAAAATCTGAACAATAACCTATCAAACCCTAGAAACTTTTGGAAAGTCATAAATAAATTACAAACTCCCCCAATCCACTCCCAACCCTCCACTATCAAAGTGGATAACCAAACCCTGCAACTTCCCTTAGATGTAGCAAATGCCTTTAACAATTATTTTGTTGGATGCTCCACTACCCTGAATGGCAAACTAATAAATGACACTCATCCTGAAACTACAAATGTGGATCAGGCCCCACTAAATTTGCAAAAACCCAATATAGACAAGTTCACTTTTAGACCTGTACCAATTAGTGTCATTAAGAAACACCTTAATAATCTAAAAATTAAAAACCAGTCTGGACCTGATCAAATCCCAGCGATGCTGTTGAAGCTCAGTGTGCCGGCAATTGCTAAACCTGTCACAACCCTAATTAACGAATCCTTGGTGTCTGCATACATACCCCAAATTTGGAAGACTGCGAGAGTAGTGCCTATCCATAAAAGTGGGGACACTACTTTGGTTTCTAACTATCGCTCAATATCATTGCTCCCAGTATTGTAAAAAATCTTAGAAAAATGCGTCCATACGCAACTATGTGAGTATTACCAACAATCTAACTATCTGACCCCTTATCAATCGGATTTTTGCCCGAATCACTCCATTTCAACTGCACTCTTAAAGGTTTGGAGTGACATCCCTACTGGCATGGAACAAGGAGGCCTAACTGGAGCTATTTTCCTTGATTTTGCAAAGGCCTTTGACACAGTAGACCATGACATTCTACTGCACAAACTCAAAAACTCATGTATTGGTGATTGTCCACTAACTTGGTTTCGATGTATCGGATTGCTCGCAATATGTATCCATTTCTGACAGCGACTCCCTCCCTCTCCCAGTCACGTGTGGTGTTCCCCAAGGTTCCATTCTCGGCCCCCTACTATTCACATTATTTATAAATGATCTGCCGAAACTGGTTGTTGCTGGAATCCAGACGCACCCTTCATCTTTCCAGCCTTGTGTTTAAGAGCTTTTCTGGGAAGTTCCCACCGTACCTGAGTAGAATGCTCTCCCCGGCTATTCCCACCTCCTATAACCTCCGATCCAGTACCAGCACTTTATTTAGTCTACCTCAATACAAAAAGAAAGCTGCCTGATCCTCCTTCTCCTACAGAGCACCTCAATTATGGAACGACCTCCCGAACACTTTCAAATCTTCCCCAAGCCTAAAGTCCTTTAAGAGATTCCTCTCTACATACCTCAAAACAGCATGCTCATGTCATCGTTAATTATATAGTTCCTACCTGTTCTATGTTAAATTTTGTAAATATTGTGTATTAATATTGTTTTTGTATTTTATTGTACCCTCTTGTATCAATGCAATGTTTTGTGGACCCAGGACATACTTGAAAACGAGAGAAATATCAATGTATCTTTCCTGGTAAAATATTTTATAAATAATTGCTTTTGCACCAATGAAATGTCAGTACATTCACATTAAAAAATGATGTCCAGGGGGCGTGGCTTACCGCCGGAGCTGAGCAGACGCATGTAGGAGCAGCTCCCGGCGAGAAAACCGTGTAGAGCAACAAATAAACGGAATACCGAGCGATTACCTACCGGATTACACTGAGCAACCTCCCGCGATGTCGCAGCGGCAAAAAACGAAAGCAGGGAAGTCGGACCGAGCCTCATTCTTCCTCACAAAGACCGCGGCCTCCAAGCAGAGTGAGGAGCAAGATGGCGGCGACCAAAACAGGCGGGAACACCCCCCCTCACCTCAGACACCACCTGCACAAGCAGAAAATGAACAGCCCCTGACAATGAGAGCCATCAGAGAAATGATGGCTGAATTCTCAGACAATATACAGCTGAATATTAAAAAACAGCTCCAAACACTGACAGCTGAATTACATAAGGACATCCAGGACATTGGCAACCGCACCTCCCAGATAGAAACAAAGATGGATGAATATGCAGTAGCACACAACAGCCTGGCTGACAAACTGCAGGAACTGGATGACTCTCTAGAAGCCCACAGATTGAAACTAGCAGACATGGAGGACAGGGCTCGGAGGAACAACCTCAGATTCCGGGGGATCCCGGAATCTGTACCAAATGCAGAACTGCATAACTATTTATTAGACATGTTCCAGTGCCTCACACCAGAAACCCACCCAGATCAACTCATCATAGACAGAGCACACAGGCTGCGCAGACCAAAGCACCTGCCCACGACAGCCGCACGTGACGTGATTGCGAGGATTCATTTCTTCCACGCCAAAGAGAGGATAATGAAGGCCAGCAGAAAGGCGGATATGCCAGAAGCCTACTCGTCAATCAAGATCTTTGCGGATCTCTCAGCGGACACGCTACACTTCAGGAAAACCATGGGACCGGTCACCTCCGCCCTGCGGGACCACAACGTGAACTACCGATGGGGCTACCCGGCCAAACTTTTAATTTCTTACCAAGACGCAATACACCCCGTCAACACAGTGGCGCAAGGTATCCAGCAGCTAAAAGAATGGGGACTCCCGATCCAGAACCTACACCCCACCAAAGCAGCTAAAGTCCCGAGGATGTCCCCGGAGTGGACAACACAATGAGAACTGGACATTCCTACCGGCATACGTAACTATGTGATGTATATAACAGTTAATAGATAGATGCATAACCCCGTTAGAGTTGTTCCTGGGAAAACAAATTGGGTGACACCCCTCTATATTATATGTACTGATAGTTGATATTTACCGGAGTACATGTGCAAGGCATAACAGAAAGCGTTAATGCTGGCTAGATTCTGTCTCTGCCCGATTAGAGGTACTAAGACACCCCCTACCGGGGGCTGAAAAGTACTGAGACCTATATCCTATACAATATGCTATTATTGAGAACACGTAACCTAACGGTAAAAAATAGAACGTTAGAAACGGGTTGCACACATTGTTCGCTACCATAGTTGCATGTTAATACTGCTCACGGTTTTTCTTGGCTTTTTCTATGGTGCACGACCTAGAGAACTGCCAACTTCACCTCCACCCCCCCGACTGCCGCGCCTCCATGCTAGGCAGCAGGGCAAGGCCCCACTCCTTGGAGCCGAAATGGGTATCTTACCCAATTGTTCTTTTCACCCCAGTTTTACCCCCTACTTACTTCCCTCACTCCCCGACTGGTCACATTCTCAGATTGCACAGTGACGCACGCCATGCACAACCCCCACCCAGGGCAATTGCAGTACCGATTATAAGCGCAGATGGACAGAACCCGACCCACCTAAGCACGCTATTTTCACCTGACACTCCTGCATGAAACTACTAACCTATAACGTCAAGGGGCTGAACACCCCAGGTAAACGAAGGCTACTACTTCAAGAGCTAAAAGAACAAGGGATAGACATAGCCTGTATCCAGGAGACACATTTTAAAAAGGCCAAGATCCCAGAAATCTTCACTAAACTATACCCAAATCAATACCATGCCCTCTCAGACAGTAAAACGAAAGGGGCCTCCATCTTTATACATAAAGACGTAGCATTCCAGGAGCAGACAAAATTAGTAGATGCCCAAGGGAGATATGTCCTACTAGTAGGGCTTTTTAATAATACCCAATATACCTTGGTATCTGCCTACTTCCCAAATACTGGGACAGAAAAATACCTCAGACGTCTTCTGCAAGACATAGACAAATATAGACAAGGTGGACTGGTGCTCTGTGGGGACTTCAACTTCTTTACCTCCCCAGAAGTCGACACGACTGCCCTACCCCAGGGGACACGACGGGCGACCGTAAACTCCACGTGCAAGGCAGTGTCCAAACTGCTCTCACTACACAACCTATATGATAGTTGGAGAATGCTGCACCCAGGGGAAAGAGATTACTCCTTTCACTCGGCGGCACACAACACGTATACCCGTATAGACACATTCTACGTAGACCAACCCACATTAGCACAAATCTCTACATGCTCTATGGGAGATATCACTTGGTCAGACCATAGCCCAGTGTACTTGGGGTTACATGACTCCTTTCAGTTTAAAGGACGGGGGACTTGGAGAATGAACGATTCCTTACTCCGAGACCACGACTTTATGAACCAAATAAAAGCTGAACTCATTGCCTACTTTCACACAAACTCTACTGAGGAAATGTCAGTACAGACTGTGTGGATGGCTCACAAAGCTGTAGTACGAGGCCTATTTATCAGACGCTCGTCCTACCTCAAAAATCAAAGACAAACCACAATACTTGAGCACCAAACGAAACTAGCGGCCCTTACCACCCAGAACAAACGATCCCCCTCCCCACTTCTAGCAAACCAAATCCAATCTCTGACCAACCAGCTACATCAGTTACAGGCAGCCAAAACTGCGTCCCTGCTTCATAGAATGAAGGCCACCACATATCACCATAGCGGGAAAGCGACAAAACATTTGGCCAATCGGCTGAGAGAGAAATTGGCGGCCTCCAAAATAGCTTACTTACAAGGACCAAATGGGTCCAAAATACAAAACCCCTTAGATATCACCCAGGAGTTTGCAAAATATTACTCCGACTTATATAATTTGGGAGATCACCCAGACACAACCCCTTTAGATGAAAACGCTATCCAAAGGTACTTGGACCAGCTTCCTCTGCCCAGGATAGACAGACACCAAAGAAATGCACTACTTGAACCCATCACTCTTACTGAGGTTCTACACACCATACAACACCTCCCTACAGGGAAATCCCCGGGTGCAGACGGGCTTCCTAATATATATTACAAAACGTTCGCGGAAATACTGGGTCCCAGACTCGTACAAGTGTTCCAAAAAGCCACGGACACAGGAGTACTCCCACCTGAGATGCTCTTAGCAACGATAGTGACTATACCTAAACCGGGAAAACCTGCTGACCAATGTAAGAATTTCAGACCCATTTCGTTGTTAAATACGGATGCTAAGATCTACGCCAAGATCTTAGCGACCAGAATCGGTAAAATACTACCGACACTCATACACGATGATCAAACGGGATTTGTGTTGGGGAGACAGGGCCTGGACAATACCGGAAACTGGCTCTCGTGCTAGAGAGGATGAGGAGGTCCGGCCCAGGCGGACTGCTCTTAGCTTTAGATGCCGAAAAAGCGTTTGACCGCCTGGGCTGGCCCTTCCTCCACAAGGTGCTGCAGAGGTATGATTTTCCACACCAACTCATCACACAGATATTTGCACTCTATTCACACCCCACTCCAAGGGTACTACAAGCGGGGTTTCTGTCCAACCCCTTTAAAATTACCAACGGCACACGACAGGGGTGCCCCTTGTCCCCCTTACTCTACGTTTTAGCCCTAGAACCACTGCTCACAGGAATCAGAACCCGAACAGAAATAACAGGGGTGGACTGGCATGGCCGTCAAATAAAGATAGGGGCGTTTGCAGATGATATCCTGCTGTACATCTCCCACCCAGAGAGCTCTCTCCCACACATAATGCGACTCATACATGAATATGGGACACTGTCCTATTACTCTCTCAATACCTCCAAAACACAAGCATTGGGTCTACGCCTGGACCCACAAGTCTTGGCGAACCTACACAAAGACTACCAATTTGAATGGAGGAAAAAAGACATAAAATATCTAGGCCTGACATTTACTACAAATGCCACAGATATGTTCCCAGCGAATTATACCAGGGTTTGGGAGGACTGTCTCAAAACAATGAAGGGCTGGGACCGGTTATTTTTAACTTGGTCGGAGCGCATAGTAGCACTAAAAATGACCATACTACCGAAACTTCAATACTTATTTAGGAACCTACCATTACGAGTATCGCCATCATACTTCAATACTATCCAGGCCAAACTGTTACAATTCACTTGGGGAACGAGACGGGCACGAATCTCACAAAAAGTGCTCCTAGCCCCCACAGCACAAGGGGGAATGGCATTCCCCAATGTCAAATTGTACTACCAAGCTGCAGTACTGTCCTCCCTCTTGCCACATTTGACCAAAGACACCCAACCCCAATGGGTGGCAATGGAGCATGCAGCCATCTTACCCTTCCAAATCCCCAATCTGCTGTGGTTACCAAAAAAAGACAGACCGGCCACCCCACTCCCACCCGCCCAACTTGCATTGGCACTACAGGTCTGGGAAACACACAGAGGGCATTTCGAAACAGGACATCCCCTATCAATGGCAACTCCAATTGAAGCTATAACATACTGCATCCCTACGTTCCATGCGACACCATGGAAGGCCATGGGGATCACCCACCTATCACACATGTGTGAAGCAGGCAAACTCACGAACTTCGCTAAGCTCCGATCCACCTACAACATCCCACAAACATCACAATATTCGCACCTTCAACTGCACTCCCTTCTCACCACACGAAATAAGACAAAACCCCCAGACCAACTCAAGCCGGTGGAACTCTCTAACTGGGAGAAAATAGGCATATCGGGGAAAATGCCACCCACATTCAAGCCACTATCGGACTGTTACAAAACCCTTCAGACGTACATACCCTTCCACAACTCATCACAGGCACTACAATGGGACCTGGACCTAGGGACCAAAATTCCCGAAGCTAAATGGAAACATATTATATCCTCCACGAAGAGGTTGATTAAATCTGCCCCACTCCTGGAACAACACAGGAAAACGATATATAGGTGGTACATGGTCCCGTCCCGCATACATAAACAATACCCCCACTCGTCTCCGGTATGCTGGAGATGCATAGGTGATCACGGAACAGTCATGCACATCTGGTGGGATGCCCCCGCCTTGTTAGATTTTGGAAAGAGGTACACAAGCTCCTTACCGAAGCCACCAACACTGACATACCCCTCGAACCCGCAACCTTCTTGTTGCTAGACATACCGAGTACCGTACCCACCGGGGCGAAGAAGTTAATATGCCATATTCTATTGACTGCCCAAAAACTAATAGCCAGGCTCTGGAAATCTGACAAACACCCCAACATCCTACCCCTTATACAAGAAATAGACAAGCAACTACTCTATGAAACACATTTCGTCACGACACACCCGTGCCCACAACGCTTCCTGAGTACATGGGAACTATGGCGCTCTTGGAGGGCGGGCAACCCAGACTAATGAGCCCCCATAGAGGATGACTGGCCATACGGCCACCCCCACTTATCAATCCCCACACCATAGAAGAGGACGCACAAGCCACAACCCCACTATAAACCACCACAATAGGAGACTACCCAGGATAGGGGAGATAGGACACTAAAGGGAGCCGGTGACGATAGAACAAACAGGGTCTTGAGGACTGTAGGGTCTGACGACCTGGAAGCGAAGCACAAGGCACCGCAGTGATTGGCCTATAAGGTATTAGCTCGAATTGACCAGTGTGAATGTGATGTGTTCGGTGATGCATACTGGATAATACTGTAAAATACGATTGTGTACATGTAAACTATGCAATGTGACTACCCCCCCCCCCTCCTTTCTTCTCTTCTGTATCCCCTCCCCTAATATATGTTGAAAAACAATAAAATACAAATTTCAAAAAAAAAAAAAAAAATGATGTCCATCAATTTGGCCCTAAATCCGTTAAAGGAACTTTCCAGACACAGTATATAGCAAC